GACTCTAAAGAGTTGAACTGGGCAGGAAGTCACGCTCGGCGACCAGCTGAAATGACAAAGAGCAAAAAAAGGATCATCTGCAATATTTATAAGTGGCAGTTTTGAAGATCTCATTACTCATTTTTTGCTCGGTTCCACTGAACTTGAAGAACCTCGTAAATTTACGGAGAACTTTTGTTGATGATGAGATTGTTCTGATTTTATTTGGGCACAGCACAGTCCTGCCATCCTACCAGAAAAATCTGGTACCGGCCGAACACTCAAAAAAGGATGATACATGGCCCGACATGACTCGATCCAAGATATGGTTCCGTACCGAGTGAATGCTACCTAGTGCCAATTGGCGTCGTATCGGCCCCAGCCATTTCTCATAATTTTCGTGTTTCAGAGGCCACGAAAGTAAGCAAATCTATAAAAATACACTTTCCATAGGCGAGGGATGCGAAGCCCATTCTAAAAGCCGACCTACAATAAACATGCTTTTGATCTAATTCATGTTCTTGTGTTTCTTGAGCTTTCTGATGAATTCAAAGTGCTTCGGACTGTTTCGAAATTTTCAACCTTCTCTAGAAGATAACCTCGGCCGATAGTGGAGGGAGGTCAAATTCTGCGGTCTAGGGATATGACGCGATGAACTGTTCACTCGGCATCTTGTTTAAACTTTGATTTCGATTCGAGAAGTTTCAAGGGTGGCCTTTTACATTCATGTGTGTTCAAATCGGAAACTGCTTCCGTTGATCGTAGTGGTTGGGTTAACGCTCCAGTGCTCAAGCTGAAGCTGAAATGCCATGAAATTCTAGTGAGCGTTCCGGGTCGAGTCTGTTATCATCAATTTTGCAATTCATTTATGAAAAAAAAGCAGCTTCAAAATAGCTCCTGATCATTTCGTCCACAAGACGTTCAAAGTTTTCAATCCTATAGAACCATTGTGTTTTAAAGGATTTATCAACTATTCCTATCACATATGCTTAGTTTACTATTCATACGCGAGCTGGTATGGCGAATTTCAGCTTACATGTATTTTATGGTTTTGGTAATTTTATAAGGCAATATTTTAATCCTTACAGAATTTTGATTATTGGCTGATTACTTCTACCATCATGAGGGAGTGGTATGGCCGAGAGAGTGAATGTACGTGAAGTGAGCACAAGCGACTCGTGCGTGGCGAGAGTGAATATCCACGTGAGAGAGCATGACTGAACCGGCAAAAGTCGTCTACGATCCCTCGACCGAATTTCTTCCTGGTGAAGGGCACAAACGGATTCGCATAGTTAGACGAGCCATATATTCAGCAGATCAAGTGTTCCCTATCTTGAAATCCTTGGTATTACCACTGGTGGTCCTTTCATCCCTCGTGCTTGTCATATACTTGATGAATACAGTGTAGG